ACAATTAAAGGAGAAGAACACTTAAATTTGACTTACTAATACAGAATGAAACAAAATATTTTAACATTGGACATACTGAAGGATATTTTTGAACAATGGAGTCAGTAATTAATTTTTAGTAATGGCTTATAGAGGCACTATAAGACAGACTGTGTTTAAAAGTGTTTAAAAGATGTTATGAAAGAAAAATGTAGTAAAAAACGTTTTACCAGACAGGATTGAGGCTGATCTGAAAGTGGATTTAAAAATGATAGGTTACAAGAATGATATAGAAAAAGACAGGCTACATAGGACATACAAAAGAAACCAGTTGATATCTTAATGCAGTAATTGAAAGGGATATACAAGTAACAAACCTAAGAGAGTGACCTAGCTAGTTTTCCTATATTGGATTTACAAAAGAGTCTTGTTGAAGCTTTGAAGAATTTTGTAAGAAGGGACAAAGAAAAAATGAAAAGAAACAAAGTTTTAGGACATTATCTGAAGAGACTAAAGATTAAGATTGCTAAAAGTAAAAGGAAGGGATATAAAGTTGGTTTATTTGATCAAGGTTAAAATAGATAAGTTGTTATCTCTGCTATCCTGTAATGGACTTTTGCTGATCAGGACTGAATGACGAGGCTTTAAGGATTTGTTTATAGAAAAGAGATGGGATATAGGAAGAAGAGATCATTTGTTGTATTTTAAGAGACAGTGATAAGTTACTAAAATAGTTTATACTTCCTGTGATGAGGGTGGGAAGCCATTTCTTTATATATTTCCTTTCTCTTTCTTTACTATATTCTTATTTTTTCTTTTCTATTTTTTTTCTTTTCTACACTTTCTATTTTTTCTTTTTCTTTTTTTAGTTTGTATTAGTTTTTATCTTTTTAACTGTAATTTTTAATAACATTACTATATAAAAAAAGGATAAACAACTGCACAGACTCCCTGCCCGAACCCTGCCCTCTTAGAGGTCCTTTCTTGTGCGCTGCTTTCTCTGAAGCCTTTATCTTTCCATCTGGGGCCTGGGGGGGAGCCCCTTTTCCTTTATCGGCAGTTGCTCCCTTGTCCTTGGGGGCTTCCACGGCTAACATCAGCCCAAGAACGGTCAGTGGGGAGGGGGCCGGGGGTGTTTAAAGAAGGCAAATACATAAAATAGCTCATCTGTGGGCACAATCTCTCTCCTGCTGCTCCACCTGTCCAACGGGGCATAACGGAGGTGGCGTGGTGGGTCGGGCAGCTTCAGAGAGAGAAACAAGACTGCACGGGGGGGGGCACCCCCAGGTCCATTGGCTCTCCCCAGGCAGGCATCCTTCACTGCAGAGAGGCCTGAGCACATGCGTGCGCATGCAGACGCAGGGCCTCCTGGTCCAGTGCTGTGGCTTCACTCCGTGGGTCTGTCTCTCTCGCCCCCGCAGAGCTTCACCCGCCTGGGCAAGTGCTACACCTTCAACTCAGGGGCCTCTGGCTACGAGCTCCTCACCACAGTCAAGGGCGGGACAGGCAACGGCCTGGAGCTCATGCTGAACATCCAACAGGATGAGTACCTGCCTGTCTGGGGGGACACAGGTGAGTGCTCCAGACATGTCTGCCTGTTGCTCTGCAGAAGACTCGGGAGGGGCAGGGGGAAGAAATGGCTGCTTGACCCCAATCTAGAAGCCCTGGCTGCTGAGGAGCTGAAGGCCGCACCTCTCCCCCAGAGACTCCAGGCGCTGCTCCTGCGCCAACATCTGGGGCCCAGCGTGTCTCTGCAGGTGTTGGATTTGCACCCTCAGCCCGACTCAGAAGGGCGGCCCCCAGTGCCCTCCTCTCTGTCCAGCTAGGGGAGCCAGCCCTGCAGGGGGCAGGAGTGGGCAGGGGCTCCGTCAGGGAAAGGGATGGTCTGCCAATCGGGTGGCCAGTGCAGAGGGCCTTCAGCCAGGCAGCCACCAGGGCAGGAGATGGTCTTGGGTGGGGATGGGCAAGACCAGGCTGGACAAGCAACCCCCTGGCCACACCTTTTGGACCTGGTCAAGATGAAGACACATCAGCAGCCGGGGTCAGAAATGCCAAGCAGGGGCCAGGGCAGGCCAGGAGCCCCTCCTGGGCAGCCAGGGAGGGAAGCCTGCTTCTCCCTCTTGACCAAGGAAAGGCTTGCTCCGTGCCTTGCAGATGAGACCTCGTATGAAGCCGGCGTGAAGGTGCAGATCCACAGCCAAAACGAGCCGCCTTCCATTGACCAGCTGGGCTTTGGTGTGGCCCCTGGCTTCCAGACCTTTGTGTCCTGCCAGGAGCAAAGGGTATCCGCTCACTGCCCACGGAGGGATGCGTGGGACCCCTTCCTCCCCCCGCCGCAGCTTTCCACCTCCCGGCAGGACCCAGTCAGGCTCTGGAGTCGGGGATCCCAGGGGTTCCTGCTGGGGTTTGTCCGTGAAAGCTGCGGGGGCTCCTGGGGTGGGCTGACCCTTGCTCTGCTTCTGCCGCAGCTCTTCTACCTCCCCGCCCCCTGGGGGGACTGCCAGGCCACCCCCACCGAGTCAGCGTTCTTCACCAACTACAGCACGGCTGCCTGCCGCATTGACTGCGAGACGCGCTACCTGGCCGAGAACTGCAACTGCCGAATGGTGCACATGCCAGGTCGGGGCATGGCAGTGGGTGCAGCTGGCTGTCTTGGGCCCTACCCTTTGCCACAAGAGGCCCCCAGGGCTCCTTGAGCAGGGTTGTGGCATGCACCCCCCTGTGGCCATTGGCTGCTGCAACACAGGGCCTGTGTTGGCCCTTCGGAGCCTGGGCACCACTCCAGCCCCTTCCCCTCTCATGCCCTAAAGGGACCATAGGCCATTCTTGGCCCACTGATCTCGGTCCCTGTTCTTTTGCTCGGCAGGCAACGCCAACATCTGCACCCCAGAGCAGTACAAGGAATGTGCGGATCCTGCCCTCGGTGAGCTTGGACCCTTCCCCACCCTGCCAGGGCTGGAGGCCCTGTAGGGGATGGTGCTTGTGGGCAACTACGCCTGCTCCCCCTTTCTGCAGATTTCCTGGTGGAGAAGGACAACGAGTTCTGCTCGTGCCAGACGCCCTGCGAGACTGTTCGCTACAGCAAGGAGCTCTCCGTGGTCAAGATCCCCAGCAAAGCCTCAGCCAAGTACTTGGCCAAGAAGTACAACCGCAGCGAGCAGTACATCATGTGAGTGAGGAAGCCCCGCACAGCGTGCCCCACATAGGTCATTCCTGGGGCTGTCCTGACACTGATCTGCTCACGCGGCAGCGGGCTGGGGCATCCCTGTTCAGTCTGCCAAGGAGACGCCCACTACAGAAGGTGGCCTCCTGTGCCTGCCCGGGGGCCTGTGAAGCATCCCAGCACTGCCAACTCCCCACCCACCGCACCCCACCCACACCCACACCCCCCAAGCAGCAGGATGACCCTTTGCCTCTGGTTGCCAGGGAGAACCTGCTCGTGCTGGACATCTTCTTTGAAGCCCTGAATTATGAGACTGTTGAGCAGAAGAAGGCCTATGAGGTGGCCGGGCTGCTGGGTGAGTGGCCGAGAGCAGGGAACTGGGAGGGGCAGCGGGGCCCCCAAGGGAAGTGCAGCCGTTGTCAGGCTTCCAGGGTCTCTGCAGCAGGGCAGGGGCATCTTCCACCTGCAGCCCAGCTCGGAAGAGCAACTGACCCCTCTGCCCTGGAGGGCAGGAGCCCCCTGGCCAGGGGCACGGATGGCCCATGGTATGGAGGCTGAACCTGAAGGCCGGGCTAACAAAAGCATTCATGGAACAGGCGTGACCAAACCATGAAAGTATGACAGGACGGCTGGGATCATAGCACCTGCGAAGCCGGGCTGGTTCCCAGAGCAGAGCTGCCAGACCCGTTGCAAGCCAGCCCACGTGTGCGCAAGAGTTAGAGATGCTAACACCCCCCCTCCCCTTCCTTTGTGGTCCCTGGAAAGAGGGGAATTCAGGCCCACAATACTCCCTTTCCCCCTGAAAACGGCTGTGGAAGAACAGCCCCTGTAAGCCTGGTGAGAGGCCGCTGAGCTTTACTTCGCTGCTCTTGAAATTTAAGTTCATTCCAGTGAGCCTTAAGGCTAAGAGCACAATGGGTAGCAGGTAAGACACACCTTTTGAAAGAGTGCTCCGTTGAAGGCCTAAACCCCAAACTTCCCCAGCAAGGCTAGAAGTACTCTAATGCTGATGTGTGCGGGAGACCTGGGAGACTCTCCTCCCCAGCCACAGGTTTCAGCCCTGTCCGCAGGAAGGGGGACCTG